CTTCCTGGAGCCCTCCTCAAGGTCGAGGTCACCTTCTCCTCTCACCCGGCCTTGCCCCCTCGTGACCTCTCGTACGCACTTGCCGCCCTGGGGCCAGAACCGTCAAAGCCGTGGATTCCGGGGTGTGTGACTGGCCTTCCTTATGCTGACGGCCGTGGTCTGGAGTGCCCAGCGCAAGTGTCCTCTCTGTTTTATTAGCCTGGGACAGAAAATAGAGAGGGGGTCAAGGGTGAGGTATAGGGTCGGTCAAGGGTTTCTTCAAGGTGGGATGCAGACGTGCACATTTGTAGAAAGAGGACGGGAGAGAGAGAAGCAGGAAGGAGCATCACCCAGATGGATGAGAGAAGGAGGCTGATGAAGAGCATAGAGTAGACAGCAGGTGAGAGCGCGGAACACGCCGGAAGCTGAACTTTGCCAGGGAGGGGACTCGGCCATCACTGCTTGAAAAGCCATTGGAGCAGAGGTGCTCCCTGAGACCGTTTCCGGCCGAGAGGGAGGAAACCCCTCTGATTGTCTGCCTCCCCTGTCCTCATCGGGGACTTGTTCCCCTGTGACCACAGTGACTGTCCCACTGCCTTCCTGCAGCCCAGCTCAGCTCTCCAGCTGCCCCCCAGTGCCCCCATATGGGTTCCTGCAGGTGTGTGTGTAGGTGGCGGGAGGGACCTGCTCAACTTCACTTTGCACCTGGAAATCAGCACAAACCCTGCGGGCAGCCTGGGAGCTGAAACCCTGGGGTACCGAGAGGAGAAAGTGGAGCTGAGTGGGGCAGATCCTGGGGGGGGTTCCAGGGCAAAGTGAAGGCCCCCCGTGACATGCAGGGGCAGCAAAGGGACTCAGGGAGCCCCTTCTGCTCAGGAGACTTTAAGGGGCAAGAAACTCCATTTCTGGAGCCTCAAAGCATCAGGAAAACCGGTCTCCTGAGCCAGATGGTGGCTCCGGTTGGACAGACAGCTGCCATGTGCCCTCGGCAAGCCCGTTTCTTGCCGTGAAATGGGGGGCTGGGGCTAAGCATGGCCCCGGGTCCCTTCCGGGGCTAAACCGCCCGGCCCTGCGGCTCGGAGCTTCTCCTCACTCCCCTAGAATTCTCTCTGCTCCTTTGAAGGCAGCACCAGGCGCCAGGCCCACCTGTCCCATTGAGGGGACACAGATGTTGCTGCCGGGGGCCTCCCATCTTGGTAAGCTCACCACCGAGGTGAGGAAATGGAAGAGTCCTTGGCTGCAGACACAGAAGCCTCCCCGGCCAACGGAAGCAAAAGAGATTTATGGGCAGGCTCTGGTGCGGGAGGGGTGCTCACAGAGTTTGGGGTGCTGGCAGCAGGGGCTGCAGCTGTGGTAGCACCGAGAAGGACATCACCCAATTCCTGACCACCCTGAGACCCCTGTTCAGGGATCAGAGTCCCAGGAGAGTGTCTGGCTGAGCTCAGGACACGGCTACCCCTGGCTGTCCCAGGGCAGGGGATGCAGAACTGGTCCCTTTGTCTTCTGTGGAGGGAGGTGGGCACCCAGCATCACACCGCCCTGGGTACTACACCTCACTGGAGGGGGAGATGACACCCCTGGAGGAAAGCAGGATCCCCTTGTGGCAGCTTGAGCTCGGAGCTGGTGACAGGAACCCCACGTCCGTTTGGCAAGATATCAAAAGAGAAAGGCTTGAGAGAAAGAGACCGGGAAAGCAGAACCAGGTGAGATGCAGAATGTGGGCGGGGTGGGGCATGGGGGAGAGTGCAGAGCCGGGCAGCAGCCCTGCGGCAGGCCCTCCCCGGTCCAGGTTCCAGCAAATTCTGCAGACCGTGTATTCTAGTTAGAAGCTTTGGCAGCTTGGGTTGAAGTTCAGACAGCGGTTCCACACTGAGCGCTAGTCTCTGCTTCACAAAACATCCCCGAGAACACGAGCGCTTGTCCCCACACTCAGCCTGGACAGGGAGTCAGCGGGGCTCTGCCTTTTCTCTCGGTGGCTTCCGAGCCCAGCGTCCTGGGGCCCTGGTTTCACGCAGCCAATCGGAGCACATCTGCCGTGGCTTTGATCAGCCTGGATTGGGAAACCTCTAGGAAAAAGGGGAAAGTCCCCCAAATCTCCGTTCCACGGAGTCAGTCCTTATTTCGATCAAGAAGCCTCAGGTTCACATATTTCTATTCTTGGGGGCTGCGGTTTTTCCTCTTGAAAACTGAGCTGTTCAGTTGCCTCTTTGCACAGCCAGACGCCGGCGGAAGAGGAAGGGCACAGACTATTTCCAAAGGGAGGGCGTGGAGGGGCCTGGCCGAGCCTGGGTTTGGACCCGGGTTTGGACCCATGTTTGGACCCATGTTTGGACCCGGGTTTGGAGGGCCGATCTTTCCTGGCTCATCCCAAAGTGGCTGTAAGCCAGGAGTCTCCTGGCCAAGAGGGCCTTGCCTAGCGTGGGGGTCTTCCCCCAAAGCCAGCTCCCCCTCTGCATGCCCTGCACCCACTCCCAGCCCCTGTTAATGCTTGAGGCTGGGGAGGGGGAACCAGCCCCTCTCTTTGCATTTTCCCAGGCCGAGAAGTCTTCGTATTGGAGCCTCCTTGACCTGTGCCCGGACCCTCCGAGAGTCCTTTCTTCCTCAAGCTCGATGGGTGCAGGCGGAAGCGTTCCCGGGCCCCCCTCCACCCGCCCCACCGCCGGCTTCTCCCGCCCTTTCCCGCTGTTATTGCTTGTGTTGATTTGCATATGCCATTTTGCTTGTGGTCTCCATAGCAACAACTACCAAATGGCCTAAGGATAATAGAGGGGCTCTGGGGATGGTGGGGGAGCCCAACGACGAGGGATTTGACTTTTAAAAAACGAACACGGTGACTGCACTGCATGCTTGGCACAAGCTGGCAGCCCCTCCCCGGCCTTTCCGTCCCTCCAGCCCCCTTGTGTTCTCCCCCCAGGGGCCTGGTCCCTACCTTCCGAGGGGGAGGGGAGGCAGCATCCTACAAGGAGCAGTGCCTCTGGCTCTAGGACAATGGAAGGAACAGAGGGAAGCAGAGGAGGCCAGGGAGGGGATGGGAGCACGCACCGAGGGCAACCAGAACCCTCTGAGAGCAGCTCCATCTTATGATAAAAACCTCAAGCCAAAGTCTCATCTTCTCTCGTTGTCCATTTTGTCTCTGGTCCCACCACTTCCTTCCACCCTTTCCAGCCTCCTATTTGCAAAGAAAAACAAAACAAAACAAAACACAAAGCATTACTTCATGTCTTACGGCCTGGCTTCTAGGTCCAGAATCCAGAAAAATAACCCTCTAATTCCTTACATGTGTCCAGCCCTGAGCTGTTTACAAAGTGCTTTCATAGCCGCAGACCTCAAGTCCTGGTGAGGCTGGAGCCAGGACTGGGGGGACGGTCCTCGTTTCAAGATGAAAAAGTAGAGGCTTGGGGCTGGGGGGCAGGCGGGTGGTGGAGGGCCTGGCCTCCCCCAAGCCTGTGCGTCTTGCCACAGGAAACTGGAAACCTGTTCCCTATTTTGAATGTTTTACATATTCCCAGATAATTTCGCACTTCCTAGTCCCAAAGCTCTGTGAGTCAAGATCTACCCTGGACAGGGCTCCCGCCACCCCCTCCAACTCTGCCATCCTTGGCCTCTGCCGATGGCACTGGTGCCACCTGGGACCGAGATGAGAGTGAGGGATGGGGAGTGGAGAACGTGCTGGAAAAAACAAAAGAAAAAAGCAAGCATTGCTTGGGGAGTGGGAATAAGCCCATGCGTTGATCATTCCCTTAACAGATGCTGAAATGAGGCCCAGGGAAGTTAAGCAACTTTTTTGAGCATATGTGTGAGTGGACACAGATGCACACAAACACACACACACACGTACACACACACGCACGCGCGCGTACACACACACACGCACATACAGTGTTTCCGTCGGGACCATAAGTAACGAAAGGACAGGCCCCGCCTGAGAGAAGTCCTCCTACTATGTCCTCAAGCCCAGCCGTGTTTGGTGTAGGGCAGGGGAGGGCAAACCATGGCCTGCTGTTGTTGGGGCAGTGTGCCCATTTGTTTGTGTAAGGTCCACGCCTGCTTTCATGCTACAAAAGCAGAATTGAAGAGTTGAAGCAGAGGCTGCATTGCTCGCAAGTCCTAAGATATTAATTATCTGTCCCTTTAAGAAAACGTTGCCCGACTCCTGGTATAGGGGATTGATTACAGGACTGTTCTGAGGTTCATTATTTTTCATTCCTACACAGTTGGGTCACCTGTTGTCCAACCACTATCTGTCAATCACTATTTGGGGAGAACCACTTATTTAAGGAATATTTATTGAACCTCTGCTATGTGCTAAGAACTAGAATAACCCAAGAACTACACAGAAGGAACGCAGTGTCCTGCCCTGAAAGGGCTCACAGGATCCCAAGAGACTGACCACAGACACAGACACAGGATACAACACAGAAGGTGGATGGATGACCCAGTGCAGGCTGGGGCTGTGGTGGGAAAGGCCAGAAGTTAGGGGAAGTTCCCAGTGGATGTGACAAGGAGTTGAATCTCAAAAGACCACTAGCCAGCAGCAGAGAGGAGAGTAAGATGCAGAGCTGGAAAGAGGCACGGGTGTGTTCAGTCTGGGATACACCGAGTATGAGGTGCTAGTGACATAGCCAAGTGGAAATGAACCCGACACCGCTGTGTGTATAAGGGTCCGGCGTGTGGAAGCGAGAGTCTGCAGATGCAGTTGTGGGGTTATTACTATGTGGCTGGTGTGGTAGAGCATGACCAACGTGCTACAGAGAGGTTACGTTGGGGGAGGAAACTTTTTTAAAAATTTATTTTATTTATTTATGGCTGCGTTGGGTCTTCGTTGCTGCGCGTGGGCTTTCTCTACTTGCGGCGAACGGGGGCTACTCTTCGTTGCGGTGCGCGGGCTTCTCATTGCGGTGGCTTCTCTTGTTGCAGAGCACAGGCTGTAGGTGCACAGGCTTCAGTAGTTGTGGCGCGTGGGCTTTGGTAGTTGTGGCGCGCGGGCTCAGTAGTTGTGGCACATGGGCTTAGTTGCTCCGTGGCATGTGGGACCTTCCCGGACCAGGGCTCGAACCCGTGTCCCCTGCATTGGCGGGCGGATTTTTAACCACTGCGCCACCAGGGAAGCCCCGGGAGAGGAAAACTTTAAATGGGGAGTTCAAGGTGGGTCTTTCTGCAGCACACGCTGTGTCACAGCCTTACACAGCCTCCGTGGTGATCTTCTCAGTAACGTGCCAGCAAACAGAGCAGAGCCTTGCAACACCTCACGGTCTGACTCTGAACCCCAGGTTTGGCCAAACAGCTCAGCCCCCTTAGATTTCCACACTTGCCTCCAGGACAGCCCTTGTCCCACAGAAGCGACGGCGACATTATCGCTGTGCACATCAGTGCTCCCTGCCCTCTGAGAGTGGGGGACGGCCTCCCTCAGCTCAGCAACCCCAGGGCTCTGGACAGCGCCTGACGTATACATAGCGGGGGCTCAATAAATGCGCCTCAGTTGATTGGCGGTCTCAGGGCAGGGTGCACGTTCGCTTCTTCTCCTAAGTTTCCATAAGAGTAACGTACGTGGATTTAGGCTGCAGTGAAAGCAATTGTTAGGATGATCGCTGCAGGCATGAGGTGGGCCCGTTGCTGAAGATTAGCCAACAGAATATTCTGCGACAACGGAAAGGTCCTGTACCTGCACTGCCCAGTGCAGTGGCCACCGGCCTCCCACGGCTCTCCAGCGCTGGATATGTGGCTACAGCAAAACGGGAACCGAATCTTACGTTTTACCTCATTGCAGCAGATTTTAGTTTAAATAGCTACATGTGGCCAGAGATTTCCATACTGGACAGGACGGCTCTGGAGGCTGTTCTCATGTGCCAGGAGCTTCTAGCAGGGGGCCTCGGTCCCCTTCCTCCGGGAAGTCCCTGGGAAGTGCCAGCTATGGGGACAGACACCTCGTCTGCTGAATTGACAGACGCAGGCAGGGGGAGGGGAGTTGACCTCGAAACAGCTGGTTTTGCTCAAGGAGGATTCCCGTTCCCCCACCTCCCACCGCCGCCCCCCGGACCTGGCACGTGGGCAGCGTGTTGGACACTTGGCAACTGCCACCACTCTGCTCGCCAACTCCCAGCCGCCGGCCTCCCTGCCTCCTTAATTAGCTCAGGGGCAGCAACTTCATTTCCCTTTGCCACGATCAGGAGCCGGTGTCCTGGCATGTGCCAGACCTGATGGAGTGGAGAGGAAGCAGCCGGCACAGGCCAGGCACCACCCCCTCATTGGGGCAGCCTCCCCATCCCACCCTCCCTGTACCCCCAGAACCTCCGCCAAGCTCAGTCCCTGGGCTCAGGGATTTGCATCTCTGTTAAGTGGTGGGTTCGGCTTCTTGAGATCAGGCTGTGCTGAGTGACATCTCCATTCTGGGAAGGCGATCAGCCTGGGGGAGGGGCTGAGTGGAGAAGGGAGAGGCAGGGGGTGGAGGCCAGCTCGACCCCTCTCCTTCTCTGCTGTGCCCTTCAGTTTCTAATGGGCTTGGATTCACTCTGCAGGAGAAACGGAGGTTCCTCTCCAATTAGCAAGGGGCATCCCAGCCTGCACTGCCTGCCCAAACCTCTCTGCTGCCTCCACCCCGGGTCCCGCCCTTGAGGCATCTGGTCCTGCAGCCTCACCAGAGGGTGCTGGTAGGCCTGCAGATTCCCAGGCCCCAAACCCAGCCATTTCAGCCCTGAGATTGGGAACAGGGCCTGGGAATCTGCCTGCTTAACAAGCCCCCGAGGTGCTCCTACAGCTGGAGGTCCAGGAGCCACCCTGAGAACCTTAGCTCCGCCAACCAGGGCGTGGCCGGGCTGGAAGGGACCCCGGCCTCAGCTCACCAGGCCCCTGGTACAGACAGGCAAACAGTAGAGGGACTGACCGCGGCAGCCAGCTGGAAGGGGCGGAAGAGGAAACTGAGGCTCCTGGGGCTCCCCTTCCTCTCAGAGGCAGGACAAAGTGACCTGAGGCGGAAGGAGCCCCAGGAGAGGTCATGTGGCCTGTCCTCTGCCCCTAATCGTCAGGGGCGTGAGGAGCTGGCCCGAGGAGAAGGATGGAGGACTGAAGCCCCCTCTGTGTCCCCACCCCCTGCAGGTTAACCGTGTCTGTGCATCCCCCTCAGGGATGATGTAGAGAAGCCGTCTGACCTTGGCCTGTCCCAACCCTCAGGTGACCCTATCTGGCCCTGACTGGATCCCGGAGGCCCTGCTCTGAGGGGCAGGGGGTCCCCAGGAGACGGGGCGGGTGGGGGGGCGTGGACAAGGATAGGAGCCAGGAAGCAGGACCGCAGGAGAGCGGCGTGCCTCCAGACCTCCTGCGCTCCGGGCCCCCCAGATACTGCTTCTCCTACATGCTGCTCACCCCTTGAAAGGCCCCGTCTGCAAACAGGGCTGAGCAAATAAACACCAGGGAGTACCTGGCATGTGGAAGGCTCCCTGCAGTCTGTGAAAAGGGAGGGAGGGCGGGGAGGTGGGGCAGAAGGATGGGAGGGAGGAGGGAGGGGAGGAGGGAGGGGGGCCACTTTGTAAAAGCCGCTGGAGGAGCAGAAAACAATGCTGAACTGGAAACTAGAAGTCTCACATTTTGGTCTCTGCCCTCTCCTTAGCTAGCAATGCAACCTCGGACCTCCTCCCCTCCAGACCCTCTGCTGAAGGGCGGGGGACTCTCTCCAGGCCTCGGGTGGGCCCAGGTGCCCTGACACTAGCTTTGACATCCTAGGATTCCAGCCTTCTCACTGCCACGGGGATCTTCTCCGGAAACGGATGGAGTTTATGGCATCTGGGCTCCCTCCCAGGCCGCCTTCCAGCCCCAGGCAGGTGAGGCTCGTCAGTAATGACAGGGAAGGATGTCAGGCTGTGTCTGAAGCCACCGGAGGCCCAGCAGCCTGCCGCACTTTGTCATAAAATATGTTGTCACCTGGGGAAGGACCATCACCGATGAAATATTTCAGGAGACAAAAACAAGAGGTGCATTGATTTTTCCATGAGGTCAGACAACTTCTGGGCGGCCTCTTGTAACTCAGTTGTCACGGGGTCTCTCCCTGAACATCCATTTGGCCTGTGATGTCAGCGGCCTCTGACCCAGGTGGGCTGCCTTCCCTGACCACAGGCTGCTCTTTGCCCAGACCAGCGCCACCCTCTGGCCTTCCCGGACTCCGCGGAGCAGAGATGACCCAGGTCCAAGGAAAATTTCCTCTCTCGACTCACCCGAAACGGTGCGGAGAAAGCTCTGCCACGGTGACTCCAGAACGGCCTCTGTTGATGAGCAAGGTTGGTCATTAGTTAAGTTAATGACTCACGCAGAAGCACCTGCCAGCCTCCCCGACCTCCACCCCCATCGGCAAAGCTGAAGCCAGAGTGCTCTAACATACAGTACAGTAAGAGAAAAGCTGAGGCAGAGTGAGGCCAACAGATCGGGAGAAAACTGCCACTGAAAAGACAGTTCGTGACTCACGGTTCCCGAGAGGACGGGGCACGCCGGGCCATGCAGGGTCACGTGGGGAAACACCAGAGGCAGAGAGGGGAAATGTGGGCGAGAGCCTGTACTGTGGTTTCCATGGGGAGGGATGGGCGGGGCAGGGTGATCAAGCTTAGGACTGGGCAGTTTGAGTAATTTCAGGAGGCTGTGGGGCATAGGGGCTGCCTTAGTCGTTTGGTACCTGGCCCTGGGGAGATTAGGGCAGGTGTTCAGGGGCCCAGAGTGTGAGAGCCCCACAGAGGAGGTGGTTGGAGGCACGGGCTCTGGATTGGTCTGTTTGTATATAAAAACCACACTCAGGCGAGGGCTTCCCTGGTGGCGCAGTGGTTGAGAATCTGCCTGCCAATGCAGGGGACACGGGTTCGAGCCCTGATCTGGGAAGATCCCACATGCCGTGGAGCAACTGGGCCCGTGAGCCATGGCCGCGGAGCCTGCGCGTCCAGAGCCTGTGCTCTGCAACAAGAGAGGCTGCGATAGTGAGAGGCCTGCATCGCGATGAAGAGTGGCCCGCGCTCGCCGCAACTGGAGAAAGCCCTCGCACAGAAACGAAGACCCGACGCAGCCAAAAATAAATTTAAATTCATTCTATAAAAAAAAAAAAAGCACACTCAGGTGAGTTGTTTACAATCTCTAGAAACTGGCTAACCCTGGAAGGGTGTCTCTCCAGTACCTGCAAAGACCCAGATGTCAAAGCATCAGAAATCCAGACAATAAAAGACATGGTTAGTACACAGAGCTGAAGTGGCTGTCCTTTATTTGCAGATGGAAATTGGAATCTATACAATATGGCTGACACCTAAGCACACTTTCTAACTTTTGTGGGTCACAACAGGTCCCTTTCAAGAATAGGATGGATGTCGGAAAAACAAACAACCTGGGACTTCGCAGGCAATCCAGTGGTTAAGACTCCGGGCTTCCGGGGCTTCCCTGGTAGCGCAGTGGTTGAGAGTCTGCCTGCCGATGCAGGGGACACGGGTTCGTGCCCCGGTCCGGGAAGATCCCACATGCCGCGGAGTGGCTGGGCCCGCGAGCCATGGCCGCTGAGCCTGCGCGTCCGGAGGCTGTGCTCCGCAACGGGAGAGGCCACAACAGTGAGAGGCCCCCATGCCGCAAAAAAAAAAACAAAAAAAAAAACACTCCGGGCTTCCATTGCAAGGGGCACGGGTTGGATCCCTGGTCAGGGAAGTAGTTGTATGCTACAACTAAAGATCCCGTGTGCCGCAACTAAGACCCAGCACAGCCAAATAAATAAATATTTTAAAAAGAAAAAAAAAAGAGTAAGCCCAAAGATTTGGGCGTGACCTGAGCTCTGGTTCCATGGTTGCCACTGACCAGCTACTGGACTTGGAGCAAGTTACTCTCCCAGCCTCAGCCAGTGGTTAAATGATCATGATAAGTCCTCCATGGTATCATGAAGAACATATCTGGTGTTTGTCCCCAGTTCCTGGCACAGAACTTCAAAAACTCTTGGAATTTTCTGAGTGATGGGAGAGTCTTTGTTGCTAATGAGGTGACCCAATGGTAGGTTCCTAGATGGCTTCAGGATGGGAACTGGTTACCAGAAAGACAAACCATGTGAATAGAGGGTTGGAACTTTGGACCCAAGGTTTGGAGAGGGGAGGGGAGGCTGGAGATTGAGTTCAATCATGCAATTAATGATGTAATCAAGCATACCTGTGTAATGAAACCCCAATAAAAACTCTGGACACCAAGTTCTTGATATATTCTAGATATTAATCCCTTATCAGATACATGATTTGCAAATATTTTCTCCCATCCTGTACCTTTTCACCCTGTTGATAAAATCTTTTGATGCACAAAAGTTTTCAACTTCTATGAAGTCCAGCTTGTCTATTTCTTTTTTTGTTGCCATGCCTTTGGCATCATAAGAAGTCATTGCCAAATCCAATGTCATGAAGCTTTTGCCCTATGTTTTATTCTAAGGGTTTTATAGTTTTAGCTCCTACGTTCAGATCTTTGATCCATTTTGAGTTAATTTTTTGTATGCGGTGTTAGGACTGTCATTGGCCTTGACAGTCGAAATTTGTCATTAAATTTGTCATTTGTCATTTTTGAAATTTGTCGAAATCATTTGACCACATGTGTGTGTGTGTTTATTTTTAGGCTCTCTGTTCTATTCTATTGGTCTATATGTCTGCCTTTATGTCAGTACATTGCTTTGATCACTGTAGTTTTGTAGTAAGTTTTGAAGCTAATGGAGCTTCCCAGTTGGTGAACACATGGACGTACCAGGAGAACGACATGTCCTGATTCCACAGAGAGAGGGCATGGAAGCTGTGTATCCAGGACCCTTCTGGATCTTGCCCTATGTGTAACCTTTATAATAAAACTTTAAGTAAAAGTATAGCACTGCCCTGAATTCTATGAGTCATTTTAGAGAATTGTCAAACCTGAGGTGGTCGTAAGATAAAACCCCTGAATCTATAGCCAGCTGGTTGGAAGTGAGGGTGGCTTGGGGACCCCTGGCTGGCCTCTGACATTGGAGCAGTCTTGTGAAGGACTCAGCCCTTAATTTGTGGGGTCTGACAATAACTTGGGGTGGGTGGTATCATACTTGAGTTGGAGTCCACCCAGCTGGGGTGGAAACAGAAGACTCTCATGAAATGTCGTAAAGATTCAATGAAATAATGGAGGTAAAAAGTCAGCCCAGGGCTTCCCTGGTGGCGCAGTGGTTGAGAGTCCGCCTGCCGATGCAGGGGACACGGGTTCGTGCCCCGGTCCGGGAGGATCCCACATGCTGTGGAGCAGCTGGGCCCGTGAGCCATGGCTGCTGAGCCTGCGCGTCCGGAGCCTGTGCTCCACAACGGGAGAGGCCACAACAGTAAGAGGCCTGCGTACCGCAAAAAAAAAAAAAAAAAAAAAAGTCAGCCCAGTGCCCTGCCCACACTGAAAGCTTTGCAAATGGTAGCTCTTACATTTGATTGTCTTAACAAATTCTTCTTCTGTTTCTGTCAATGGAAGGAGGGCTGAACGCTAAGGCCAGTCATGGCTTCTAAATGGCCACAAGGCCTCGAGGGGCCACATCACCTCTTAGTCCTCTGTTTCCTTGTCTGTGAAATGAAGATACTGAACAAAATCACTTCTAAGTTGGCCTTGGGCTCTATGAATTGGCATGCCAAAATTTACCGAAAAGTGTGCTTTTAAATCTCAGAAAAAGAACATTCTATGGTACTCTGGGCTTCCTCATTAATAAAGAATTCCAGTTCAAGAAAGAGATCCATTGTCATGGGAGATCATTGAATGGCAGTGTATTCATCCCCTCTGTACCTGATGCTGACGTTCAAACAGCAGGGGAGGCAGAAGCATGGCCATTCTAGGGCTTCCCTGGTGGCACAGTGGTTGGGAGTCCGCCTGCTGATGCAGGGGACACGGGTTCGTGCCCCGGTCCGGGAAGATCCCACATGCTGCGGAGCAGCTGGGCCCGTGAGCCATGGCCGCTGAGCCTGCGCGTCCGGAGCCTGTGCTCCGCAACGGGAGAGGCCACAGCAGTGGGAGGCCCACGTACCACAAAAAAAAAAAAAAAAAATAGCATGGCCATTCTCCAGGTGAGACTCCCCCAAATTGCAGGCAAAGCACCTGAAAAATCCAATGTTATGGAGGCAGCTCCTTTCTTACACGGGAAAGTGTCTGTTCTCCCAGACTCGAGATAACAAGGTAGCCAAGCAGCCGGGATTTGAGCAGGGCTCTTCTGCAGCCCATATGTGACGTCCATTATGGGGGCTAGCATGATTTTAAAACACCACGCAAGTCATCCAAGACTGAGTTGGGCTCTGCTGAGTGTCTTAAATATATTTCATTACGTTCTGATTCTTTTAAGCCCATAACTGTGAGCTCTTCAGATGCAGGAGGCCTACGCACCCCTGTGAAGTGCTGTCTCCCCAGATCACTACAAGCATCCCCTCCTCACCCTCCCATTTCCTGTCACCCCCTCTTTGCTGCCACCCACACGGCAGACCTGTCTCTTGCTCTCGTCTGGCTCCCTTGGGCCAATGCCTCAAAATCTTCTTCGCTTCCACTCCAGGCTCAAGGTTTACTTGGGGTCTACTTCCCTGCACAGCTGACCTGGGGTGCAGGGCTGGGCCCACTCCTCACTGTGGAGGGAAGAGTGACCATCAGGCAATGGGGCTTCCCTCCGTCCTGGAAGGTTTAGTGGGGATGGGACAGTGGTTGTTTCCGCTGGTGACTATCCGGGCTCCCCCAAGCCATGCCTCAGATTCACACCGCGTTCCTACTCCGAGGATCTGAGATATCTTCTGGGGAAAAAAAACTGTTTACCAATGAGGAAGGGGCTTGAGGCCTACAGAGGGGAAAGGCCTGGCCCCTGCTTACATCTTCTACGTGGGCAGGTGTGAGTTCTGGGGTCCCTAAGACCATCCTCAGGTTCAATAATTCACTAGTAGTACTCACAGAACTCGGCAAAGCCGTTACACTTCCACAAATACAGTCCATCCCAGGGAAAGGACACAGATGAAAGTCAGCAGTGGGGAGAGGCACCCAGGGCAGCGTCCAGGCGAGACCAGGCGTGAATATCCAGCTTCCTCTTCCAGTGCAGTCATGTGGACGTCCCCCAATCCTCCTACAACAATGTTCGACGGTGCTCACCGAGTGTTGCCAACCAGGGATGCTCCCCTGAGCCTTGGGGTCCAGAGTTTTCATTGGGAGTTGATCACGTAGACATCACTGACCACCCACGTGGCTGACCTTTGTCTGTGGCCCCTCCAGAGCCAAGCAGATGCCATGCAGCCTGAGACACCCA